GTTTCACCACAACTTGGAAATCATAGCCCATATCAGCTCGTTTTTGGAAAAGAACCCAAAAATCTTACTTCTCTCAACTGGAACTTTGACAAGAGTCTTTGTAAATCCTATTCGGATTATTTGTCACATTTGAAACAAAAGTTTGATTCTATGTCTTCTACTATTTTAGATATGCAAAAACGCAAACAATTAAGTCAAAATGTTAGTATCTCACACAGTCTAAGTACAAATCCAGTTTATGGATTAGGACAGTTTGTTTATGTTCTGAAACCTTCCTCATCAGCTTTAACCTCTAAGTCAAAGAAAATCAAAGCTGAATGGTGCGGACCTTTGATTGTCCACCAGATTTTGGATCGCACACATTACATTTTAGCAACATTAGATGGTAGAGTTTTGCCTGATGTCTATTCCATTAATCGGCTTAAACCTTGTTTCATAAGAACTAATGAGCCAGTAAAGAGATTAACACATATTGACCAATTACGTAAACAATTAGGTAAATCTGTATCTAGCAATGATTCACCTGTATTGAATACTAAGGATAGTTTGTATCAGTTTACAGATGAAAATGGTTATAATTTACCTGAATTTAATAATAAGTTTATTACTTATGATAGATTTACGACTTCTGTTGATATTAATAGATGTATACCTAATCAAACTATTGCCTCTTTATCTATGTTATCACCTCCTCAAATGGAAGAACAACTCAACTACTTAACAGAAGTTGTGAATGATGACAATTTTATTGAAATCAAAAGAGCAAGATTTAAATTTGGTAAATTTCAATTGCTTGTCAAATTTAGCCCAAAACAACAACAAAGTTGTGAATGGATTAATATAGATCATAATGTTGAGTTTTGTAATATTGCTCATGAGTTAATTAATGAAAATACTCTTCAAGTAACTGGTAATCTCCGTAAATATCAAAGTAAATATTTTTAGAATTGTTCCTTACACAATGTGTTTAAGCTTGTATTGAAGGTAAACCTATTTTTGCTATTTATCATACACTCCTATATTATGATGAGACTCTTCATAGTTAAAATTAGATCATTATTGTTTATATGTATCTGATAGTTGGATAATTTGATATACACTTGTATGTTAAAGAGATAATATAGTATTAGGTTGGAGCAATACTTCTCAATCAAGTTTGTTTTATAGAGAACATTTCAAAATGGAGTTATCGTAGGATTTCTAAGTATATTATAGATGACATGTAATTTTCATAATTTGTTTTGTTTTAATTAACATTCAATATTGTTCTTGTTTTACTACTTTCTCATTTTTGGTATCATATCGTATCATCCCTCATTTTTATTCTCATGTATATTTAAGCTTTTCTTATTTTTGTGTGATAGTGTGTGAATGTTTTTCCATTTATATCTCTTCTTTTCAAAAATTCCTATGGAATTTTGTTTTAACGCGGGGGGATGTCATATTGTGGTATATTCTATATCATTGTGGTCTGAAACCTTATGTTTAAGCAGACACAAGTTGTCTCCCTTATGTTGTAGTTCTTCTGCCTTTTAAAGTAATAAAGATAGAGATTGGAATTCTAACATGGAGAATGGTTGATTTTTATTTCCACCCACATATAAATGTGTAACACCCCTGGATCCAAGGATCCGAATACAACAATAGTCCCCTGCGGAGGACAAAAAAGGTTGTACTTATATTGGCCCTTGTCTGTAGTTAAGGGCAAGGTAAAGTGACAAAAATTGTCGCAACACCTGAAATGGGGGGTTTCCTCAAAAAATCATTCACAACACCTTTAGTGCCTTTTTTTGTGTCTAGAGATGATACTGAACAATAAAAAAATTGATGAAGATAAAAAAAAATAATGACTTTGGAATTTGTAATTTTGGAAAATATGAAGCAAATATACCATTCAGCACTGCGCAGTTACAGGGTAAACAACTTAACATGGGAATTCACAAAGTCTCACAGAGATACCTGAATATATACAATACAACCATCAAGACTTCAAATTTAGAAAACTATCATTGTTTTAGTACACCACGTCCATATAATTAAAGTTTTATTTTTCAAATATCCTCCATTTTTTTCAAGGGACTACTTTCAGACTTTTTGTATGGAGTACCATCATAAACATCATTTGGATTAAATGTTTCGTGTCTGTATGGAATATTGTAAATACTACATCACAATTTCCTTGAAACTGCTTTTAGTTTTCAGCAAGTTTTTATAATGAATACACATTGTTATCATTTGTATTACTTCTTAATTCACCCCTTGAAACTTTGTGCCAGGAAGTATAAAGATGCACTGACAATTAAAGATTGAACATTTTTACTAAGTTTTACAGTAAAATAATTTGTTATAAATTTTATTCAATATTTATTCACACTCAACACATTGTTTAATCTTAGACTGTACACTAAGTATTGTTTAATGGTCGAGAGCGAGACATTAAGTAATATATTGTAATATATTACGCAATTTCTTAAGCTCGAGACCATTAAACAACTTAAAATACAGACACTTGCACGTGCTTTGCAATGAAATACGTCACTCGAGTTCAATATTTTACCAAGTTACGCTTGGCACATTGCCCGTACGATTATTTGAAATAATGGTACTCCAACATCAAAGGATGACGTCACATCTGTATTTTAATAGTCCACTATTGAATGTGGAAAGGTCCAGCTGAATGATTGATTGGAAAATATGATGTGTTTCAAATGGTACTCCATCGAAATGAATTTGCCCCACAAAAAATTATATCTAGGTAACAAATTCTAAATCAGACCCTCAAAATGATTATTATTCTAACATAAATAAATAATAATCTATCCAAAATTTAGAAACAAGCCTTTTTGCTAACATTTACCAACGCTTGACAACGGCAGCCATGATAGCTTAGATTTTGACAGTTCTGTTTTCATCAATTTACAGAACGGTCCATATGAGTAATGTTGATATTAAAAGATGTGACAGTTCTTGCAAATGAATAGTCTATAATATTACGATTTACCACCTTATGTAAGTATAATTGTCAAAAACTATTTATTGCATTTTTATTTACCTTTCTGTGCCGAATTACCGCTCAAAGGAAGTGTTGCTTGCCTCGAGTTCATGCATGACTTATTTTTTTAATATTATCAAATCCCGTAAATGACACCTCATTTGTATTTTGATATGAATTAATCGTATTCCGCAGTTGTTTAAATTAAAAATTTGTATTTAAAATTAACACTTTGCTCATTGATATAAGCATAAGGTCAAGGACATACTAGATATTCGGACACGAAAGCTACCTACGAAACATTGTTTACATTTATACAACGGCGAAATGTGTTATTACTAAAGGGAATACGACATAATTGTATGTATGATGATGTAAATGAAATCTTTGCATATTATATACAATGTTCCGCTAAGCGTTGTCATTTTAAAGATTATTCGCATCAAGATTAAAAAAGAAAATGGCGGATCCCAAACCCGTGGTAGCAAGACGTGGAAATCTCACACTACAAGGAAATAGGAAAGCAACTCGAAAATCTAAGACTGACTACTGTACTACATAGATCGACAGGGTATAAATAGAGAGATAATAGCTGTCTGTAGGTGTAACCGCGATTGGGCAATAAAGTGGTGAAACTGAAATTTTCGTTTACGTGATAACACGCGAATGTACGAATTAAAGGGGTGTGGACTGTGAAATAGTGTATTGTGAGTAATAGAGTTTATTTTGAACGTTTGTATCCAAGGGCTACTATTCTATGCTGGGAAATAATATCTTCAGTCTTGTTGGTGTTGAGACTACTATGCAACAAGATGGTGTCACTTTACCCTTAAATCCTATTCAGTTTATCGAATACTGTTATCAATAAATTATTATTTTACTTTAAGGGAGATAACTCCTTATCAAAGTTTAACCAATAGCATATTCTTTGCTTTAATACGATGAAGGCACCGGGTGTTTTTGTCAATATTCTAATTTTACGTCAACTACACAATTGTTAGTATAAATATAGCCAGCATTTACTTGACAATTATATTTTCATCTGGCCCTGAATCAAGTTAAAGCATACATTTTGCTTGGAGCTCTCTGGATAAGCTTTCCAAAAGTGTATAATTTGTTTAGTAGGAAGGACCTTGTAGCAGAAATTCAGCTAGAAATAAGCTTTGTGGTTGTACCAATTCAAAAAGTACATATAAATTCAATGCAGATCGGATGATTCTAATGTTTACAAAAAATTGTGGACGACGACATACTGTGCATCTGCATTTCCCATAAGGATACCAGGAATATGTTGGCATTCGTGCCCGATTCGGGGGAATGAAATTCCTGTTTTCCGTCTCTTCTTTCACTTGAATATAACAAACCAGGAAGTGGTCCAATGTAGCCTTATGTGGTTTTGCAACTGAATTACCACGCTGCCCACCAGACATCCCAAAAATTTGATGAAACAAATAATGATGGCCGAAAAAATGTCGCACATATTAACCCGATTTTTAACTGTTTTACAATTCAGGGTGTTTTAATCAGTATACATCAAATCATATATTGTGTAAATTGTTCTTATGGCACTGAAAAGTTTGCATTGGAGAAATTTTTTTAGTAGTGGTGTACTGGACTTCAGACACATTATTTTGTAAACTAAGACCATATATGCCAGTACATTTTTGTGGGCCTCTACCAGTTTGAAGATTTGATTGCCCGAAAGTCGGCAAGTGGAGCATGATGTAAAGCAGATTTGCCTTTGGTGATCTGCAGGGCAGCACGCTGAACAGTAATGTCAAGTTAACAGTTAGAAACAGTCACCCAAAACTGAACTTGTAGTAATTTTACCCAGTTTGCAACCAACAATCCTTTCTTTCCCCTTGCAGTGGAATATGTCTGTAGTAGATTTTATCCTATTGGTACAGACCAAAACTACTATCTTATGGAACAATAGTTCATCCTCTTAAACAACACTCTGAAATTCATAAACAGTAATTACATCTGCAACATATTCTAAATTTGGGAATGAAAGACAAACCGTTTTTGATTTTTTTTAAATTTTACATAGAAAATGTTTGGGTATTTTTTTTTTCTTTTACATGAATTATAAATGAAATTTACATATACAAAGTAGCACTGGAGATGAAAATAGTACAAATTAAATATAAATTAAATAAATGCTAGCACTAGAAGCCATCACTAGGTACTCTGACATCATCGATTTTCAGGATCATACGAACTAATTGTGTAGCTAGTAAAAGTTGTTGTTTTTTAGCCATCAGTGTCTCGATAACATGTTGTTCCTTCATGTCTGAAATGATAATTTTTTATTTAGAATCGATCAAACCATTTAATATTGGAGACATAGAGAGAGAGAGAGAGAAATGGGGTTTAACGTCCACTCGACACAAACTAGGTCATTTTGGGACTAACATACGGTTTAATTTTATTTCAATAATTCGCTTGCGCATATAGGGGTCTTTAGCAGTGGGAGGAAACCGGAGGACCCGGAGAAAACCCATGAGGTTGGACAGGCGACCCTCATACATGCCAACTATTCCGATTTTGTCGGAATCATTCCGATTTTCTGAGTCTAATTCTGAATTCCGATTTTACTCTTTATAATTCCGTTTTTTAAAATTTATTGGAAGAAATTTATTATATTTCATTCCTGACCTTTTTGATTGATAAAATCCCTCTCGTTTTATTTTTACATTGACGACTGTCTCGGCATTCTCGCTATTTGTTGTGAATCTGATGGCGATACTGTTTATCGTAGTACGAGTCGGTAAAACAACGAAAATAGTCGAGAACATGTGTCATGTTTTCCTTATTATTATTAATATAAAATGGAATAAGCTATTATGTCTGGACTAATCAAGATCAAAATGTCATGTGGTTATTTCCGTCATTTGCCGTGTCTAATTTGCATAATTCGCGGTAAAACGACGGAAATAGCCAAAAACATGTCTCCAGTGTTCTCGATTATTATTAATATAAAATGGAATAAGCTAATATGTCTGGACTAATCAAGACTAAAATGTCATGTGGTTATTTCGTCATAGGCCGTGCCTAATTTGCATACTTCGCGGATATTATTTGCTACACGGCGGGTTTACCGTTAGTTGCCAGTAACGTTGTTGCTTCTTCCTTAGCAATATTTCCTTCTGACTTGATAAAAAATGTTTTCAAGCTGTTTTCCATGTGTGAAAAAAAACAGATTACAATTATAAATAAAACCCAGTATAAATAATTTACGACTTCTACTTCCGTGTCGGTCGTCAAGACAAACAAAATGGCCTCCAAAACAAATGTCAGACAGAAATACCGGGAAACTTACGGCAAAGAATTTCTAGGAACCATTACGCCCTCGCGTAGAGGCGACGAATTCGCAATTAGTTTAGTCTGTAGGAGTGATTGATGTGTTGCTTACGGTGGTATTACGAACATTTTGAAACTAAAAAAACACTTGAGCTGCTCAAACCTAAAAGCCTCTTACAAAAAATCTTCACTTAACAAATTTAGGTCATGCCTACATGTAAATGACCAAAAGGATATATGCATACTTTCATATATAAATAGGTAAAAAAAAAACTCAGATGCATGGACCTAAATCACCAGCTGTTTTTATCCAATAATACAAGGTACTGCTTTAAATAGGTGCTAATTTCTCAATACAAGGCATTCTGATTTTCAATCTCCTCAGGTTGGCATGTATGGACCCTACTCCTTGTCACGTACAACCGGGGATTCGAAACCACGCCAGTCGACTCAATGACAGACTTTATGATACAGCGCGCGCATGCTAACCATTCAGCCATCCAACCCCCCCTTGGAGACATAGATTATAGCCAAGAAATACATAGCTGTTAAAGTATAATCAGTAATATTTCCCTTAACAATATCGTAGAAAATGGTGTACAAAAACAGCATTGCAACAAATTTCATTAGTTACCGGGGTCCTTAATACAGATAGAAAAGTATATATAGTCAAATTTGTATATTCTTCTACATGTATTAATCTTTTATTAAAGCATTAACCACTCAGATGTTAAATAGAGAATCCCCTACACGTCTTTTTTGCTATTAAAAATATAACAAAACCCTTTCTTAAGCGCACAAATAAGTATAATTCTTTGGTATAGATTTAATTTTACTGAACCTGATGATTACATTACGTCGTAATGATACATCATTAATTGACAGCAAGTTGCCCATTGCAAAGTGTTTCCTTTAAGTATTCTAAATGTTTATGGTAATTAAGAAACTTTTCCCAAAAAATTTTTACTTGATCCAAAAAGTAGTTGCTTTTTAATTGGCCATTCATGTAAAACGATAACTCCTTAGGAGGTATCGCTCAGTAGATTATGTAAGTTATAACATAAGCGATATCTACTGTAGAATGTGTTATTAGGTGATCAAATGTCATATGAGATCCCCAAAATTGATATTCAATATTCAATTTATGATCATGGATGACAAACGAAACAAAAGAAATAAATATTTTTATACTAACATTGTTTATTTGAATAAAATGGATAATGGCATTAGCCTTTTATTTCAACTGAGTATATTAATTAATTAATTTCTTTCCTCCATGATGTAAAGTTTTGCAGTGAACCTCGTGTAAATAGAAATCTTACCGTTTGATCCTCGGTGTAGACAGTCAATACCAAGTCTAGGATTCTTCTCTTTCACATGACGAGACTTCACCTCGGCCAAAGTGTGAATAGGTGCATGTCCACTATTTTCAGCTAGAGCTAAAGGAATACTTTCCAAGGCTTCGGAGAATGAACGGACAGCATACTGTTCTAAGGTTGAAATCTGAAAAAGTAATATTAATTTTCTACAGCTTGGTATGCAATACATTACACTAACATTTGTAGCTTCAGATTGTGTTTTTGTAGATTCACAACCATAACCACTCCCCCTCCCAGACCCACATTTGAAGAGGCACTAGCGTAAAGAAACTTAACACTGAATAGGTTAGTTCGGATATACGCCCTGCACGAGATGGACAGAGAAACTATAAAAAAAAAACAACGTAAAAAGCAGTGGGCCATAATCCAGGAACTCGGATCTTTGGGAAATAAACATCTAATTTAAGTTTCATTGAAATCGGATATAAATTGTGACCTCTACAGGATCCACAACCTATTTGCATACAGAGAGAGGCCATTTTATCCAGCAGTTTCGGTCCTATTTTCACGAAATTCAAACTTTACCGTAATTATGGTTTGACGGTGATAAATTTAAATTTTTTTTTTTAAATCGGATAAAAATTGTCACCTCTAAGAGGAGCAACAAGCTAAAAACACGTTTCTTCATACAATCAGAGGCCATAATCCAGGAAATCACAGTCCGATATGCGCGAATATCGAAAAACAAACAGATCTTTGGGATATAAACATATATTTTAAGTTTCATCAGAATCGTGACCTGTAAGTGCCCTCTAACAAATTGTGGACGGACCGGGGCAACGACAATATACATCCACATGATAATCAGTGCATATAAAAATTACAAACGTGTTAAAATATAAATAAACCTCGTCAGCTGCAGAAGCTACAGCCAATGAACAGGCAATTTCAGGTGCCCCTCCACCAAACACAACCCGATCATCACGAACTAAATTACGGATAACACACAAAGCATCATGTAAACTTCTTTTAGCTTCTTCAACAATCTGTAAAATAATATATTTTTGATGCAATGTATATTCATACACAAGATCAAGCTTTTTCAAACATAATATGTATGTCTACAGTTTTCTTGCTCAGCCCCTCAGATTTCATACATAGAAAGTAGCCATCTGAAATTCTCAGATTTTCAGGAAATCTTCTTTTTGTTATATGCGATACTTTCAATTGAGCTTCAATAACGATATAGGAATAATTGCAAACCTCCAACATGAAAATGTTGCGAACCACCTTTTGATTTTATCACATTTATATAATATAACAATTTATATAGCACTGACAATACATACTCTGTGAGCAGCTCTCAAACGCTTTACATTGTCAATTACCTTATATTCAGAGAGAATGTATGACAAATTCAATCTGATTATACAATAAGATAAATGTTTTATATAGCATAGTGTCTGAACTACTTAAAATATACATATCTTAGTAGGTATTCTCTATGCTAATCTTATATTTAATCGCAAAGGGTTTACACCAAAAAGTATGCTATTTGACAAAGTTAATTTCACTAGGCCTACCCAGTGCACTATAATTTATTGACTTGTATATATACTATTCAAAAAAAGTAGGGGATATTTGATTTTGGGGGCATAATACTAAAATATGCAAATGACTACGAAAAAAGTCACTATAGAACCTAACAGAAGAAACATTTCCAGTTACATGTGACGCCCAAACGCACCAATAGCTACCGCATGGAATGCAGGTGATGCTTGGGATCATCATGGGGGTCCAACCCAAGATTTGCACGACTCTGACTTTGAATGTTACAGTCATTGTGGCATTGAATTCCAGGGTGGAAACATCAGTTTAATTGTTTTAGTGACCAGAAAACAAATTTTGATATGCGTCGGCTTACCCAAAATGAAAGGTTACGTGCCCTTGGCATGCTACAGATCGGCACAACACAGGCGGTTGTGGCGCGGACGATGAATGTTTCTCAGTCTGTCATAAGCAGGCTATGGTCCAGATACCGTGATACACAATCTGTACAGGACAGACCACGCTCAGGTCGACCAAGGGCGACAACTCAAGCCCAGGATCGATTTATCCGTACCTTGGCCTTGAGAAATCGTGTCATCACAGCAAATCAGATCAGCGCTCGTCTTCAAACAGACACTGGTGTGAGAGTGAGTGGCCAGACGATTTGGAATCGACTGCATAGGGGTCACCTTCGCGCCCGACGTCCTCGCGTGATCCCTTGTTTGAGAGATCATCACATTCAGGCAAGACGTCGTTGGTGTAGGGATCGTCAACACTGGGATAATCGACGCTGGAGCAATGTGATGTTTTCAGATGAGTCAAGGTTCACTGTTGATTTTTTGGACAGACGAAGGAGGGTGTGGCGTCGTCGAAACGAGCGCTTCCAAGACGTTAACGTCATCAGACATGATCGATTTGGGGGTGGTTCTGTTATGGTGTGGGCAGGCATCACTGTTGCTGGAAGAACGGCTTTACATGTTGTTGCAGGGCGTGTTACAGGCCAGTACTACCGGGACAACATCTTGGCAGTCCATGTTGTGCCGTTCGCACGACGTCATGGCCGCCGTTTCATCTTCCAGGATGACAACGCAAGATGTCACAGGGCCAGGATCGTTACAGGTTACCTCCAACAACAGAACATCACCACATTACCTTGGCCAGCACTGAGTCCCGACCTCTCCCCCATCGAGCATGTCTGGGACATGCTTGGACAGAGGTTACGTCAACGTCAACAACGTCCTGCCAATGTCCAAGAACTTGCTGCTGCGTTGCAACAGGAATGGGACAATCTGGACCAAAATGACCTTAGACGTCTCATTAGGAGTATGCCACGTCGGATCAATGCTTGTTTGGCAAACAGAGGAGGATTTACCCGTTACTGACTTGGTTGTGATGCTGTGGTAACTTTGCTGTTTGACCCCGGGTATCATTTTACCCTTATAATGGTCAGTCTGTGCCTTACTTAGTCTAACGATCATTTGGAATAAATCGATGAATGTGAACTTCATTTCATTTTGTCATTTGTTTCTTCGTCAGTTTCATTAGGTGACTTTAATAACACTTAAAAATCAAATATCCCCTACTTTTTTTGAATAGTATATGTCACACTCTGGGCTTTCGATTAAAGTCAGGCAAAAACAGCATCCAGAATAAACAAAGAAGATCAGTATTCCATCAACAAAGTCTCAAACTATTGAACCACTCACCATTTTATTTCCACCTCTGATGAAGATTGTTACAGCTCTAGAATTTTTACATTCTTCTATAACCAACATTCGTTCTTTTGTTGTACCGAATGTTAATTCTCTAACAATACCAGCATGACCTAATTTCTCTGGAGTTAATTCTTCAAATCTTGGTACAATGCGACCTCCTGTTGCTATGGCAATCAACTGAAAATTATTTTAAAATGGTTATTCCTGTTACGAAAACAAATGAAAACTATAAATTAATAACTGAAAGATGTAGAGCTGATGTGAAATTAAAATGAATGATGTACAAACATTTGAATGTCAACTGTGGTAATTAAAAAAAAAAAAAAAGGATAAATACACTCCAAGCCATTAAAAACGCAATACCTAATTCGTTAAATATTTCTGGTAAACGTTTTCTTGGGCTTTCCTATCTTATGGCACATAGGTGAAACTGATGATGGGTCTCTTTTTGTGGAGTTCTGGGTTTGAACCCAATATCAGTTCTCGGTAATGAATATTGTTCGTGCAAACGCAACACTTGTCTTTTTTCACAATTTTAAGCAGTCCCATGTCACACGTTTTGCATGTGTATTCCCTGCACTCTGGTCCTTTAAATACAGATCAAAATTTCAACGTTCATCACTTTGGAAAAATGACACCTTACACAAGAAAACAGGAACAGTGCTATTGGCATGCTGGATCAGGGGGCTTTACAGGTAGCCGTCTCCAGACACTTATGTCCACCCATCAACCATTGCTCGCCTCAGACAACACTTCCACACCACTGGAAGAGTTGCCAATTGACCCTGACTTGGATCGCCACCTTTAACCGCTGCTCAAGATCGCCACATCTGACTACAACATCTGCACATCAGGTTCCAGTCAGCTACTGCTACTGCCAGGGGAACTGCTGGAACATGGCAACTTCAGATCAGCCTCAAACAGTCCGAAGGCACCTGGCTGCTCTTGGGTTACGCTGCTGTCGACCATACCAAGGTCAAATCCTTTTGCATCGTCATCGACTTGCCAGACAGCAATGGGCCACAAATCAGGGGTATCTGCACAACCCATCATGGCGAAATGTCATCTTCTCGGATGAATCCCGATTCAAACTCAGTTTTCCTGATGGATGTCACCGTATCTACCGACGTCGAAATGAACGCTTCGCCGGTAACTGCGTGCTGGAAAGGGATCATTTCGGGGGAGGTGGCGACATGGTTTGGACTGCTATCAACGTCAACTTCCCAGTTGGTGGTGGTCCAAGGCAATCTCAACGCTCGACATTATGTTGACGCCATCTTTCGTCTGGTGTTGCTTCTATTGCTGGCTCAACATGGCATCCGTTAACAAATGGTTTTCCAGCATGACAACGCCCAACTGCCAGGTTGACAAGAGACTTTCTGAACACTCATCATGTCCGTGTTATGGATTGGCCCGCTATGTCTCCCGACATGAACCCAATTGAACACCTTTGGGATGAACTTGGATGGGTTCAAACTCAAGCCATGCCCCCTTGAACTGTTGCAGAGTTGGCACAGGCACTCCAAAATCATTGGCAAACAATCCCACAGCGTGTAGTGAGACATCTGTGCCAGTCCATGCCAAGGCGACTTCAGGCATGTGTAAGAGCTCAGGGTGGACATACCCGATATTGACTTCAGCTAACCCCTGCTTTGTTTCATTGTTCCGACGTTTCGGTTTTGTGCATTTATAGTGAATTCTTTCATGAAATTATCCACAGATGCTTGTTATCTCATCTTTGTCAATTGTTATGTACATTTGTTAAATGTTGTTGCAGTACATGTAAATAAGCTTTGAATTTGGCAATGCGTTTTTTAATGGCTTTGAGTGTAAATAAAAAAAAACAAATATGCAGAATATTTCGCTACAGAGTCCTTATTACTTTCGACAACAAAACAAATATCATTTCTAGATCATGATGAAAACAACCATAGATTCACATACTATTCAATAATCCAAGCATTGGCAATTTAATGCAATGCATTTTGAACGAACATCTAAAATCGGTTACAACCGCTGCACTCCACACAGCATTGAAATAAATAAAACAGCCAGGTGATTTTGGAATGCAATCAATTAAATATACCAACCTCTATTTCAGGACCACCAACCCACCGTACAGCAGGTAATTGTTTTTGTAATAATAAATGATTGGCCTCATCGTCAAAACCCCATTGACATATAACTAAGTTAGCTCCCTTATCCTTCACCTGTAACATACATGTAGGAACATTTTTATTTTATTTAGTCAATATTTAGTTCATTCCAACAGGATTATATAATTCAGCAAATAATTCCACTCTGTAAGAATGACATTATTAAGACATCAAATTGTAAATTTCAGACATTAACGCCAGATACACTCATTATCAGATATGTAAATATTTGAGCATTAAAACATTTTAAAACAAAGGGAAGGCAACAAGATATTTTTGATAGCTTCCTAATAAAGATTTTTTATTAAATACAAGAACAGATTGGAATATTTTTTTTTTTTATCCAATTTTGCATGTCATCTATCTTCCATCCAGAGAAAATTTATAGTAAATTGAATCTGATTATCACAGTAAGATATTTAGAGGTTTTATATAGCATAGTGTCTGAACTACTTAAAATATTTATATCTTAGTAGGTATTCTCTATGCTAATTTCAAATTCAATGTCTATAGATTTATACAAAGCATAATCTTTCTCATACACGGCACAGGTCACTTGTTATTGATTGGGTATTAAAACAATAGATTTTGTTCAATCCAATCCATACAAGTCTTGTGCATAGAACTCAAGAATGAAAATAATTAAAACAAAATGTACAGCCTACATACCGATTGAACCATACTTTCAAACTTGCTGATTTCATATTCTCTCAGTTTATGATAATCTTCTACTGATGTGACGTCTAACTTGTGTTTAGTTTTAGGTTTAGGGGGTTCAAATGGACAGGTGAGGATAGCCATTTTAGCATCTTTAACAACCTGAAAATGATCAGAGAAAACATTTAAACAGTGAAATGGAATGAACAGCTGATGTTCAAATACTCATTAACAAACAATGGTCTTCAAGTAACTCATCATTTTATGTTACTTAATATGCTTAATATAATTTCCCAAAATTTATTCAATGTTAATTGACAAACTATTTGGATTGATTATGAATTATATATAATTACTTGAAATCAAATGCAGTAATTATACATTCAATTCATTTTTCAAAGCCATACCATTACAGTTTTTGGGTCATAACGTGTGCGCCTCACCTGAAATTTTCCCTTTGCCTTTATGCCGTAACTTGATATTTCGAAGAAATAATTCATAGAAAAAAAAAATCTGTTATAGCCAATCAAATACAAAAACCAGCGGCTGCCAGGCAGGATTCGCCCACATTTGCGTACAAAGAGCGGCCATTTTGTCGGGCAGTTTCTTTTCGATTTTCCCGAAATTCGAATTCAACCTTCATTATGGTGGAATGGTGAAATATTTAAACGGTTTTTAAAATCAGAAAAAAAAATTGTAACCTCTAGAGAATCCGCAAGATAAAAATGCAATTTTTCGAACAATCAGAAGCCGTAATCCAGGAAGTTACGTTCGGATATACACAATTATCAAAAGGAACCAAGATCTTAGTGTGTAATGATGATATATTCACATTATTTTGTGGGAGGGTGGTCCCCCACACATTTGCAAGTCTGATTGTACTTGCCCCAGCCCTGTTTCAAGCAAGTCCATTAATTATCGATCAAATGTAAGTAACTTACTTTAGGCATCTGTGGATGACTCATATCTTTGTCAATAACAACACCTTTAACTAACATTGTATCTTCTAACTTCCCTCCAACTTTGCCTTCTACTTTGATCAGTTCAAAATCAACATCCTTACGATCTAAATCAGCCACAGCTAGAATAGCATTAACAGCTATTTCAGCCATCTGACGATGACAACGATTAATACTGAAAAGGATATTGACATCTTTAGCACCATATTTATATATATACAAGTCTTGTATGCCATTGGGAGTTGCGTGCCCTTGTTTAGAAATTTGGTGGGCTAAACCAGACTTCTACCATTCTCTGACTGACGGGCCTGTATGATCAAGACTATTTTATACAAACCATCTTGACAGAAATCCTACTTTAGAAGATTGCTAGGTTGGCAAGTCAGCAAATAATTTTAAAAACTTGTAAGAGCAAAAAGAAAATATGACTAGTAGGCTATTCTATTTAGATATTTAAATTCTACTAAACAACCAAAATATGCTGCTCCTAACGACACCACAAAAAAATAGCAAATTGCACAATAAACCGAACATAATTTTATAAATCTGTTGTCACAACAGACAATCTAACCATTACTCGTGAAAACCAAAGATTTTATGGGCAGCTCAACCTATCAAGGCATATATTTCATTATTAAGGTGAGAAAAACTAAATAACTTACATTTTAGATCCCAAGGTTGTCATAGCTAATCTGATTAAAGGTTCTGGTTTCTTTAAATCCACCTCAAATCTTTCACTAATTTTATCTAATGTTTCTACAGCAACTTTAGCTGCAATTTCATATCCATCAGCTATTCTGATTGGATGAATTCCTCGATCTAGCAACTGTTCAGCTTGTTCTAACAAAGCACCAGCTAAAACTGAAACAATAGAAATTACAAAATTGTTAAAATGCCAGGCATCAAATAAAAGCCCACCATCTTCATTTTGACAGGTATTAAAAAACACCTCAAAGCATTGTTTTGCTTCATTAAATCTTGATAGGATTCCTACTTGCACTAGCGAAACAAAACACAAAAACTGACCATCGGAGTTTAAACAAGTTTAGTGTGACAGTGACGGCAGTAACTTTACAAATCAAACTGACAGGTATTAGGGGTTTCAGGTCATGTGACTTTAAAGCGTGAAATCTCACAGCCAGCGGATCAAATATAGCCCACTTCAATCTATGACTCTGAATTACTACTTTATTTAAATGTATAACTAGCAATTTTATGGTAATAGTTTAATTATAAATTTAAATATTTGCAAAGATTCAGTCTTAAAAATTATGAAATGTAAGCAAATTCATCCTTTATGTACGGGAGACACTCGCGGGAAAATATTGCTCTGACGTCACGTGGCCGGGGTTTTCCATACATGCGAACTGCTACGGCTCACTTCATTGGTGAATCGCACATTAGTTTCCGGGAGGATTTCAACATAGCCTATCAAACGATAGTTAACATTTTTGTGATTATTATGATGCATGATACCCCGAGCTACGATAATTACAGCCGTAGAAATCAGACTTTATATGTTTTGCCGACTGAAATTGATGGACCAAACCTTAGGTCATTAGGATATTGATTGGCTAATACACAATTGCCATAAATAACGCACCTACAACTCCTGTTGTACCGTCACCTATTTCATCATCTTGTGATCGTGATAACTGGACCATTAGCTTTGCAATCTGATGTTCGACATCCATCTGACTAAGAATTGTAGCTCCATCATTTGTGATTGTTAAGTCTCCATCAGGTCCTACAAGCATCTTATCCAGACCCTTGGGGCCCAGACTTGTCTTCAAAACATTGGCTATTGATTTGGCAGCAAGAATGTGACTCTAAATAAGAAAAATATATATTACATTAGATCATTAAATTCTATAAAACTTTTATTTTATTATTTCACACACTACCTCATAGTTTCTGTCCTTCGAATGGACCGATCAATTACATGTTCAAACCAGTTGCGAAAAAGTAGACATAACAAATTGAAAAGAATTTCCATCCCTGATAAAAAGGCTGATTGGCCTAAATGAAATTGGCCAACACAACCTCTAACAGTCCTGAATATAAGCCTGGAACTGTAACAATAATGTTTAAAATACTTTGATCAATCATCAAAGAGGTATCTCATAAATAGGTCTTTAACTTGCATTCACCAGAATTTGGAGCAGAATATATATATACATGTCAAACCATAATAAAGTATTTTTTTACCTTGTGGGCCTCAATGCCTGTTAAACGGGTCTTATTTTCCTGATCGCGAACAATGATAAATGGACGACCATATTCATCAAACGCAATGGAACCCGTGCCAGCCATAATGGCAGAAAAATACTTTCAGATGTAGTTTACGAAGCTGATGCCGGTGGATTATTTTCGGCTACTCAAATTCATCAGCGTGCAGAAGATTCCAGAATTTACATGGTTTACCGAAATATTGGATGTTAGCTGGTAAGAAACGAAATAAAATTGATTGCATATATTTTGGTAAGTGATGGGTTGCATGGATTAATATGACTGTAAGAACTACTTATGAGAGAAAAATAAATTTTATAAACATTTAAAAAAATTAATAAATGACCGAGAATATAATTTTTCTGCGTGTCGTGTTTATGTGTATTCTTAAATTTTGATATCCTAAACCGGATACCGCGAACTCTCACGAGACAACACGCGGAATAAAAGTGTAAACAATTTACATAGCAACGAACTGGTTCAGGATATCAAATTTGATTTTAGTTTGTCACCGAAAATTAGAAAGAAAGAAAAATCCGAATCTCCCATACGTCTTTAAAACGTTCAGAGTAAAATGTCGTTTTTCGGTTTAACACAACTTGGCTATCAGCATACGATAAGGGAAAGTTCTGCACCAGCGAAAGCCGACCCCGTGCGTGGAAATCGTCAGCTTGGCTATCTCGCTCTTCCACCATTGAAAGACAACTGTGCAGCTGAACGATCCATTATTCCCGAAAATCAAGTTTCGTCCTACGGCCAAGGACCCAATGGATCGTATGTTGAATACACAAGAATGAAAAATAAACATATCAGAAAACCAAAATGTAAGTAGATTTCAAAATTGTTTATTTCTCAAAAGTTATCATCGACATAATAGTTACATAGCCTAGAATGTATATATTTTGAGCCCTTTTATCTAACTGCCTGTTTTTCCAACCTTCCCTATTTGTGACAGTTTAATAGGATGTAAGTGAACTCGTCCACAAGCAAACACGTCCACAAGCAAACTCGTCCACAGTTAGGTCCACAACCATTATTTGGTTATGTTGTCCACAAGGTATTGATTATGTTGTCCACAATTAATGGTAATGTCATCCACAATTAATGGTAATGTCATCCACAACTAATAGTTGACAAGTACACACATTAACTGTATGGAATAAATAAGTGTTACTCATCGCTTGTTGATATTTGTTTTATTAACCCAATAATCAATTAACTTGGATTGACCGATCACGGCTGAGAACAGTCGAACAGTTCTCCATTGCCTGTGTCGCCGGTTCTGGTGTTGTAGGGTAATCAATGGCAAGGGGTGAGGATCGATCCACGGTAAGGTCTACGGCAATGGATGTTCTCTCTGCTGACTCATCGGCGCACTGTATCAGTACTTATATGTCTTCCGTGTGTTCCCACTGTCCGACATGTTGTCTCAGATGCCTGTGTGAAGGGATTCTGCACGTGCTGTTGCACAACATGGCGGTCTTGTCGCCTTGTGGTAACCCTTGGTCTACCAGTTCACGCGATCATCCGTGGTGTTGGTGGCCCAAAATCGTTGAAGCCTGTAGATGGTCTGAACATTGACCTGGAAGTGATTGGCAACGGCTTGGCTAGTGTGGCCAGCATCAGGTCTTCCAAGCGCCTGGTTCCTCTGAGCTGTCGTGAGTCGTGGCATGCTGCTGATGTAGTGTGAATGGCTGGTGCCGGTGAACAGCACGTGCAGCATGAGTTACATGAAAATCATGGAGAACACATTATCATCTCAGACGTCAGGTTGCGTTTTTGAGAACATTTCCTGGGTTCAATTCTGTGTTTGGGAAGGAGCATCATTGCTCAGGTAAAGTTGGAGATGTGGTCACAAATATACAATAAAAACATTTGGCAAGTTTTATGCAATGCCTCTATTCAGAGTAACATACCAACCTGACGTTTCTTTTGCTGCTTAGTATATTATATTTACAGGATTATCAAATTTACCGTAAAACAGTTTTCGGCTAAACTGCAGCCAGCGTGATACATTGTATTTCTAAGGCATTTTTTTGGTTCATTCAACGTAAAGAAAATTATGATCATATCAAACACTATGAAAACCATGCGATAAAGCATCACTCAGTACACTTTTAAAATTATAATCACTATGAATACTTTCTTTATCCATAACATAAACAATGTCGTGTGGACAACTCAACCAACATATTTCTGTATCCCTGACATGAACAATGTCATGTGGACGGTTCAACCAATGCCGTTTGAATCAACCAACGAGTAACTAGGCTTTTCATGTGGACAAGTTTGCTTGTGGACAAGTTAACTGGCATTCGTTTAAAATAGACAGTCTTTGACAGCCTGGAAATCTTTCAGCCCATTAAAGTTGTAGCATAAATTTACCATAATCTTCAACATTAAAAAAATCATGAATTAAGATTTAATATTGGTCCATTTCAATCAATATTAATTTTCAGAATTGTTTAGTTGCTCAGTTTTAAACCAATTTGTGTTCTTCAATTTGCAAAGCATTTGACACGGACAGTAGAGTAGGCCTACTGGCAAGCTTACACTGAATAATCCAGCCAGAGGGCTATCAGAGGATGGATTATTCAGTCTACGCATGTATTTAGTTTGTGGTCTACAGCAAGCTATATTCACTAAAATCCTTTAAACCAGTAAAAATTTGTGTGATTAATTAATTGACAGTTACCAATGATTGATTAACAGATATACGCATTTTTCATGCACATGTAACTGTCTCAAATCACGTCAGATTGTTAATTATTTTTTACTGACTGGTGAAGTGTTAATGGGTAAATGCCTATATAATTTTAAGCCCTGTCAATCACATTGTCAAAAATTGTATTTAATTAGTTATTTCTCAATCATGAACTGTTAATGATAAATTTCTGGAAATTCTTGGATTTTGTTCCTTTGACTCAATATGATAAAAGGTTGATAAAATTAAAAAGCATGAAATTTCTGAAAGTTTTGAAATATATTCTCTAAGCAAACTATGCACTTCCCAGAACATTTAGACCATCAAAATTTCATAGAAAAAGGCCTTAACGGGCCAATAATTGTTCTTGTGATTTCACAGTATACATGTATGTCTTTTTCTATTTCCAGCAACATTTGAACTTTATCGTTATCCTGCTACTACCTCAGCACAATATGGCTGGTTTAACATACATAAACCATTACATGCTAAAGAACCCTGGTCGTATGTCCCTAGAAAAGTTCAAATAAACAGTGAAATGACTAGGTGAGTAAAGATTAGAGGCCACAATAAACAGTTTCACTCACTTTCCATATTTTGGCTTTTATATTACCTTTATATATCTGATCTATATTATCCTCATGGCCCTTGATAATATATTATACAAAATTAAAACTCTTAAGCTTATACACATACAGGATCGTTATCAAGCAAATAATCTATCTATATAAATAAAATCAAAGTTTTATGTATGTATGTTCGCCCATCACACTTCGTTACCATGCTCCACCTCCACATATGTGGTCATTCTGCAAACAGAGATCCATCTACTTCGTACTCTGCCCTAAATGGCCGCCATATCCAAAAATCAGTATAGGCCTACTGTTTTGTAGTGTGGTTCTACTCCATTTCACATCTGTCATACACACAAAGACTAAATAAGAGAGAGAGAGGACTGGGGTTTAATGTCCACTTGACACAAACTAGGGACTAACACATTGTTCAATTTTTTTATTTCAATAATTCGCTTGCGCGTAGGGGTCTCTAGCAGTGGGAGGAAGCCGGAGGACCTGGAGGAAAACCCACAAGGTTGGACAGGTGACCCTACTCCTTGTCAGTATAATCAGGGAATCGAAACCATGCCATTTGACTCAATGACAGACCTTATGATACAGCGCGCATGTGCTAACCATTTGGCCATCCAACCCCCCCTGACTAAACTTTTTCAATTTATTAAATGGGAGCAAAATAAGTACTTAACAAAACTCTTGAAGTATACTTAGTGTTTTCAGCTAAAATCATCAACTTAGGACTTGAACTGTCAGTTAACTAGCTTATTGTCTGTTTTCAAGCAGAGCTAACTGTAGACAGACAGCCTAAGTTTAGTATGATATGTGATATCAAATTAAACAGCATGACCCGGCTGTGAATGTTTTAGGCCATCAAATTTGGGCCCCGGGCGTATCACGCCTCGTTGCCGCTCTCTAGCCCCACATATGTGGTACCGATATCAAATAACCAGCCTTGCCCTGTGGATTTAGGCTACCGAATTTGGGTCCCAGGCAAATTTGGGCTCTGTGCGAATTGAGGCCCAGGGCAAAGCCGGGTATCCTGCTAGTTTTGAATAAAACTAGATTGTTACTGATGTTAGATGTAAGCTATGGAGCCCTGAATGGGCATGGTAAAAAAAGACTGAGTCATTTAAACAACATATTTAAGTCATTTAATAATGGCATTTCTGCCTGTGAGCTTGTATTAAATATCGATTCTTTTCTTTTCAGATTTGTAAATCAGATGTCATTAACAAACAGACAGTTCTCCTTATTTTAAATGAGCTGGTGTGTTAATGTTTGTTAACCGTATGAAATTGTTGTGAATGGTGGATGAAAGAAGTTGTTAAAGATGTTATGTTTGTTTCAAATTCAATCTGCTTGTTTTGTCCAATCAGCTGTCTTGTTTTATTAGCCTAACATTAAATTATGCAAATCAGGAATTATAAGCAGTATTATATGTTTCTGCAATCAAAACATCGATTGGTTAATCTTGGCCTTTATTATATGCAGGTCTTTTTGTTTTAATGTCTAGAAATGGTCTTAAAGGATTAAAATTATATCCTTTTCTTAACACAGTTAGTATTTTATTTTCGTTCCACAATTAAGTGGAAGATTTCGTCAGGAATAAATTCATAAACTAACTGAGAACCAGCTTTGTAGTTGGTTATGACCAAGACCATTGACTTTCGGGCTGGGTGTTTTTTTGCTTTTAGAGTGATCTATTTGCGGAACAGTCAAGTAACTCAACATTTGGCATTCCATAGTCTCATACTCTGAGATCATTCAACTGCCTAGCTTGCATGATGTCACATCAAGTGGAGACAATTTAGAAATGCAGTAAGAGAAAAGTGAATGAAATGTGTTACATACCTACACGATACTAACAGCATTATTAATGTTTTGATATTAAACTTTAGCCATTGTAATATGCCAAATTTATATGCTTTA